AGCACCATACTCCATTGATGCAGTTCTAGGGTTCAAAGCCAAGCACTGTACCGACTGACAACATCCCCAGATCATGCTGCAGGTTATTTCACCTCAGTGTGTGCGAACATCTTTATTTCCCATCCATGCCAATCCATCCAGCTTCCCATTCAAACCTGCTTATCTTTTTATTCAGCTCAACAGGATCCACTTCTTCTTTCTGTCTTTTCTTTTACCTTAAACTATTTTACACTTTCTGCTGACTAAATGATAATTGATTCATTAAAATAATTTCCAGTATTCCATTTACTGTTGTCTTGTTTCTGATTGATTCAAAACAAAATGGGTAATCGTTGGTTTTCAGCTGTTGGAGGAAATCAACACAAGAAGACTTCTGGGACATGGGATTAAGGTAACAGAAAGTCTTTATTGGCCAGATGGAAACTACACTGGGTGTTCAGGAACCCAGTATAGTCAGGAGCTTTTCTCAGGGTCAGTTTTTAAGAATTAAAAACCGTGTTGTGGGTTGACATACTTTAGTTAAAAAGAGTGGGTAGGGCAGTGGGGGCCCACACCTTTAATCTCAGCACTCGGAAGGCAGAGCCAGGCAGATCTCTGTGAGTTCGAGGTCAGTTGGGTCTACAGAGCTAGATCCAGGACAGGCAACAAAATAACAGAGAAAACCCATGTCTCAAATATCGCACACCCACAAAAAAATGCCTTAAAACAAGACAGTTAGCCAAGCATAAGACAGAAAACAAAATGCAAGGTTAGTGTATTTAGAGCCTGTCCCAGAACTATGGACTGTGGTGGATTAGGTCTTCATTTGGATAGGTGGTGCTGTCTACACCCTGACTGGTACTTCCATCATGGAGTCAGTTGTGCTAAGGTCTGGGGGCCTGTCATATTCCCCACTGGATTTAGTGAATGAGACTCATGTCATGGACTCACTGTGCTCTGAAGAGGTGTAGTTGGTCCTAAGCACCATTTATTGTGCTATACTATTGAATAATTCTCCATATAGTTTAGGAGGCAGGGCTCCAAACTTTATCCACTCCATATGAGGATTAGAGGCCCAGTTGGTGCTAATAGCTGAGTGGTTAGCCAGGAATAAGAGAGCAGAGACTGCTCTCAATGATCTGATTTAACTCTTTGTCTCCTTTTCTCTTTGAGGGTTTTTATTTCCCCAACAATTTACAGGTTTTTCTAAGTATTGCTGATCAATTAGCAGAGAAACAATAGATTTCTCCCACAGCCACACATGGTGCCCTTACCTCAGAGGCAGTGAGTCTAAGCCTCTCCAATGATGTCGGAGCACTTTGGCAAGGGAATCTAACTGTTGTTTTAATACAGACGCAGAAATTTCTAATACCTCTGGTTCCGATCAACCTGTCTACTCAGTTTGGAAAACATCAGCAGAGGGCACACTTAGTCAAACCTTGTATCTGCCAACCAAGTGGTCTCAGAGGCCTGGTAATATTGCCATTGTCCAGATGAGTTAATGTACCAAGCAGATCAGCAGACACCTGCTCATAAGGGGAAATGCCTAGATTAAGGGTGTTGGATATTAGACAAGTTTCAGCTCCTTGAAGTTCTCTAACCTTAATTTGGGCTGTCCCCAGTGACAGTGAGATTTGTCAGTCAAAGTGGTGACAGTCGGGTTCGTTCTCATCCCTAGGTAGTACGGGAGCCTGGGAGTCTGAGCATCCCCAGCCATCCTGGCCAGTGGTTTCTAGAGAACACAAGATTTTACTGCAATGCTACAATATCTTCAGGAAGGTTTATGCTCAAAGCCTAAAGAAAATATAGGAAAATGTAGTCATTTTTGAATGATTCAACTCAATGGGAATACTGAGATGAAATTAAGCCAAACAAATTTGGGCTGGCAATGTTAATATCAGAATTCAAAGCCAAGTCAAAATACACGTCAATTTGAATCAGACATTTGAACCCCAGGTGTGAAAAGCATACTTTAGAATAATTGAATTTTAGCTGGGCGTGGTGGCACACACCTTTAATCCCAGCACTCCACAGGCAGAGGCAGGCTGATCTCTGTGAGGACTAGGCCAAACTGATCTACAGAGAGAGTTCCAGCACAGAGAAACCCTGTCTTGATCAGGAGTTTAAGGTCTCTCTTGGTTCCGTATTGAAGTCACCTTCAGCATCGTTACATGAGAAATGTCTAGTCATTCAACTTGAGGAACTAGGTGAATTGATATCTAGGTAAAATTAAAAACAAAAACCAAACATAAAGGAGTAAAATGAAAGAGTCACAACAGAACCCTCACAGAAATAGGGCAAGCAGGGAGAGGAAAACCCTTCCTTAGGAAAGATCTTAGAAGTGAAAGTCACAGTTAGGGCAAGAGCATGTACAGACATCAAAGTCCGGACAGCTACAATGTATAAACATCTCTATAGCTTCGGGCCGGACATAGGAACCACTAGTAATTCTCCAGAAGTACAGATGTCCAAAACTGACCTAGTAGAGAAACCAAGTGGTCTACTCATATGAATTTCTTTGTCTTTTTAGTTTTCTTTTGTTTTTGTTTGTTTGTTTGGTTGCTTGGTTTTTGCTTTGTTTTGTTTTTTTGAAGACAGGGTGTTTCTGTATAACACCCCTGGCTGTCCTGGAACTCATTTTTCAGAGCAGGCTGGCCTCGAACTCACAGAGATCCTCCTGCCTCACTCTCTGCCTTCCAAGTGTTGGAATTAAAGGTGTGTGCCACCAAACCCTGCTGGCTTTGCCATTCTTAATGTTATCCCTCATTTGTTTCATGGAGGCCAAATCTGTACTCGATACCAAATTCTCGGACATTTAAAATGTTTGTGCTTCAATACTGATGACAGTTTCAGGATGTTGTATGGCTATGAAATGACATTTTATTTCCACTGATTTTTCAAGACCAGGTTTATCTGTGTAGCCCAGAAAGTCCTGGAACTCATCCTGTAGACCATGGTGGCATTGAACTCAGAGATGTGCCTGCATCTGCCTCCCAATTCTGGGACTAAAGGCATGAGCCACAACCACCTGGCAAAAAGACGTCTTCGTATTTGTTTTGGGGTGGATTTGGGTTAAATAATTATCAATGTCTAGTTAGCCAAGATTTGAGTACTCTGCTTATTTTCTTGTCTGTATCCTGGTCTCAGGTGCTTGTGTAACCACAAAACAAAGAATTGTCCAGCAACACCCCAGACCTGCTTGTGACTCTCTGTGGTGAAACTCTGTCATGTGTTCTTAAAATGTTCACTTTTCTGTTTTGGTTTTTTGAGACAGGGTTTCTCTGTAGCTTTGGAGCCTGTCCTGGATCTTGCTCTGTAGAGCAGGCTGGCCTGGAACTCACAGAGATCCGCCCACCTCTGCCTCCCAAGAGCTGGGATTAAAGGCGTGAGCCACCACTTCCCGGCCCTAAAATCTTCTTAGTGGTTCTATGGAAAGTTGGTATATATCATATCGCTGTGCTGTATAACTTTCTTTGTTTAGTGTATTTCTGGTTTGCCTTTTCTCGAATTGGGGTGGTTTACTCTCAAATGAGGTTGGGCGGGGCTAACGGAGGGGTGTGACCAGTGATAGGCGTGACTAAAGTGGGTGGGCCAGCACTGATGACAGTATTCACCTTTGTGGCTATAAAAGACCCAGAACTGAGGCTCCAGCACCACAGGAAGTGAAGTCTCACAGGAGAAAGCTTCCCTGGTGCTGCACTGTCTTCAGCCAGGTCTCCATGCTGTTGGAGTAAGGTAAGTCATCTGTAACTCTCTTCAACAACTCTGGGATGCTTGTCCTGCTGAGATAATGACGAGGATCAAAGGTCCATAAGCGTCAAGCACTCTCCTGGGCGTCAGGATTGGCTGGTCAACTTCCAGCTTTAGGGTGTCAGCTTTATCTGTTTCATTTGTGTTCAGTCCTGTCGGCATTTAAGTATGATTATTGTGGGGCAACGTTAATCCAGGCTATCCCCAGTCACAAAGAGTTTTGTCACTTGAGGGGTTGACTGTCCAGGTAGTTCTTATCCTTATGTAATATGGGTGGTCGAGGGGGTCTGAGCAGGTCGAGGCATCCTCGCCAATTTCTGGCAGGGAATGATTGATATTGTTCCCAGGGTCCTCCCCGGTGGTATAAAGTCTGACTCCCTAGGTGTTCCCTGTTTCCTAAAGGCCAGAATCTTTCTCACAGAATTTCCAGATTTTTAGTTTTTAAATTTTATGGCCATTGGATTAGATTTTCCTATTGTATATCTTTTGGGGAAGAGTCTAGTTTGTTTCCTTTTGGGTGAAGGTGTGGGACTCCTCCAAAGTGTTACCCAGTGATTTGATCAAGGGAACCCTGGGGACCGGCAACATCTCAAGTTGCATGGCCCCAGGCTCAGGGTGACCTTTTTAACACAAAAAAACATGTTCTGGGTTGGCATACCTCAGTTAACAGAAGCTAAAAAGCAAGGTCAGTTCATTTCGAGACCTTCCCAAAAGTATGGACATTGATGGATTAGGCCTTGATTATAGTTTTAGCAGGTGGTGCTGTCCCTGTGCTGAGGGATTTTGGTTTGGTTTGGTTTGTTTTGAGACAGGGTTTTTCTGTAGCTTTGGAGCCTGTCCTGGATCTCCCTCTGTAGACCAGGCTGGCCTCAAACTCACAGAGATCTGCCTGCCTCTGCCTCTCGAGTGCTGGTATTAAAGGCATGCACCATCACCACCTGGCTCCTGTGCTGAGTTTTACAGCCTTAATGGTACCTCCATCATGGAGTTCGTCTTGCTGAGGTCTGAGGCCTGTTTTCCACCTACCTTCTGAGAGAAGTCAGGTTTCCTCTGCTCTTCCCTAGTGAGGGTAGGTTTTCCGTCTGACAGTTGCATTTGAAATCTTAATTTTTCGTTTGTATTGTTTTCCTTAGATTTTGAATTAATGAAGTGTCTTGAATTGGAGGACTAGACATTTTATTTCCCATGTATTCAGGACAACCTTGAGGACAATTTGGATCCAAGAACAACCTTGAGTCCCTGATTATCTCGGTCCCAGAGCAGCAGTAGCCATGACATCTGAGCACTGTGGCCCCCAGAGCCCAGGGAGTGCCATCATGACCTTCCGCCCAACCATGAGAGAATTTTCTGATTTCAGCAAGTACATCGCCTACATGGAGTCCCAAGGGGCACACCGAGCTGGACTGGCCAAGGTCATCCCACCCAAGGAGTGGAGAGCCAGGCAGTCCTATGAGGACGTCAGTGACATCTTAATAACCAGTCCCCTGCAGCAAGTGGTGTCTGGCCAGGCAGGTGTGTTCACTCAATTCCATAAGAAGAAGAAAGCCATGACGGTGGGACAATACCGTCACCTGGCCAACAGTAAGACATACCAGACCCCGCCACACCTGAATTTTGAAGATTTGGAGAGAAAATACTGGAAAAGTCGATTCTTTGGGTCACCGATTTATGGTGCAGATGTCAACGGCTCCCTGTTTGATGAGAACACTCAGGATTGGAACGTGGCACACCTGGGGAGCATTTTGGACCTCTTGAAGCAGGAATGTGGCATTGTGATTGAGGGTGTCAACACGCCCTACCTGTACTTTGGCATGTGGAAGACCACCTTCGCGTGGCACACGGAGGACATGGACCTGTACAGCATCAACTACCTGCACTTTGGGCAGCCCAAGACGTGGTATGCGGTGCCCCCCGAGCATGGCCGACGCCTGGAGCACCTGGCCAGGCAGCTGTTCCCGGGCAGTTCCCAGGGCTGCCAGGCCTTCCTGAGGCACAAGGTGGCACTCATCTCACCCACTGTGCTCAAGGAGAATGGTATCCCCTTTGGCCGCATGACGCAGGAGGCTGGGGAGTTCATGGTCACCTTTCCCTATGGCTACCACGCTGGCTTCAACCATGGCTTCAACTGTGCAGAGGCCATCAATTTTGCGACCCCGAGGTGGATCGACTATGGCAAGGTGGCTTCTCAGTGTAGCTGTGGGGAGGCCAGGGTGAGCTTCTCCATGGACGCCTTTGTTCGGATCCTGCAGCCTGAGCGACATGAGCTGTGGAAACACGAGGGACGTGGAACTGTGGACTACCCAGAGGTCCCCTCGCACCCCAGTCAGGAGACATTTACTCGGACTCAGAGGCATCCCTGCGCGGGACCCCTCAGGTGTGTGGTAAGCAGAGCCCTCAACAGCTGCCCTTACACTAAGGTGGGCTCCGAGTCCCAGCGCCGTTCAACATCCAAGCTTTGGGCTCCTCAATTCACTGTGCCGCAGAGAAGATTCTCCAAGCAAGCTTCGGGGGCCTCCCCGATCTTCATGGATACTGCTGATGCCAAAGCCCTGGACCTTTCACGACATTCGCAGGACTACGGAATCTTGGATAGGAGCCCCCAAATCTCCCTGCCACTCAAGAAGATGGACTTGAACTCAACAGACACAGGTTCACCTCCTGCCCCTTAGACCTTTTGGCCACCAGGGGACATTCCTAGTCATCTGAATCAACGGCTGTCTGATATGCGGACAACTGAAACTGTATTTTGGGTCCTGGATTCAAGTCACCTTTTAATTTGCACATGGTCTCTCCCTCAGAATTGATGCAAAGGACGGATCTGCAGTGTGTCCTGCAACTGCGTGAAGAGAATGGATGCTCCATTTGACTGTGGTGTCAAGGACGGGGCTTTTGTAGTTTAGATAGGTTCCGGACAATGGGACTCCTGGATGGAGTCTTCTTCATGTGGTTGTGGAGGTAGGCCACACCTACCTGCTGTGATGGGAAGCAGCCTGCAGACATCCTTGCAGCTTCTAGGCTGGAAAACCACAAGTCCATGGAACACCTTAGAACATCCTGCCACACCAATTCTGGGTCAGGGGAAAACTCCATGAAAGGAAATGGCACAGTTCTGAGGATGCCCCATCCTTCCTCCTGCTCTGACAACTGAGTCTTCATGAGACCATCGACTTGAACCTCCCACTGGGAGGATGCCACAGGGAGAGAAGGCAGGTCTTGGGGCACTCAGCATGGTTCCGAACATGCATGCACCTGCGACCTACTCACATGGTACAGTCTTCAGAGCACCATGGCCGTCATCTGCATCGGCACATCTGGAAGGACCTGCACATGCCCATGAGTGCCCTGACTGACTTTCTGGTCCAGAAGCAGGGAGGCGGGAGAGACAGGTGTAGGCTGATCCCTCCTGTATTTCCTCAGCATTTCCTTGTTCTTCTGCCCTAATTGTCTCCTGGTCTCAGGTGGTGCTACAGAGGCTACAGTGTGGACCGATCACAGCCCTGGTGGGGACTCCATACACTGGCTATGAGTTATCTGTTGTCCATGCTGGGGGGAAATGGCTCTTTCCTGTCAGTGACCCCTCACCCATGCTCTGTAAGCAGGCCCAATAAAGATAGTAATAATTCTCCCGACTGAAGTGTGGTGGATACTTTGGTTTGTGTTTGGGGTGCAATAAAGTAGGGTAGAGGTTTATGTCTCCCCAGGACAGGAATTCTGCCTTAGACTGGATGCCATATACACTTCTTCCCTGTCCCCTCACCACACCCATGCCCCCTCAAAGCTAACTAAGAACACATAACAGCCTCACAACAGAGAGACTGACAGGTCTGTGGTCTTGCTGAACACAGCTTTGTTTTGTGGCTACACTTCCAAATCAGATCAGGGAATAGACAGGAAAATGAGCAATGTCCTCAAATCTTGGCTAACTATACAATGATAATTATTTAACCACAATCGACCACAAAACAAAAATGAATATGTCTTTTTGCCAGGTGGTTGTGGCTCACCCCTTTAGTCTAGTGAGTACTAGGCCAGCCTGGTCCCAAAGTGAGTTCCAGAACAGCCAGGAAGTGTTCATAGAACCACTAAGAACATTTTAGGGCTGGGAAGTGGTGGATTCTGCCTTTAATCCTAGAAGTCAGGAGGCAGAGGTGGGCGGATCTCTGTGAATGCAAGGCCACCATGGTCTACAGGGTGAGTTCCAGGACTTCCTGGGCTACACAGATAAACCTGGTCTAGAAAAATCAGGGTGGAAAAATGTCATTTCATAGCCATACAACATCCTGAAACTTTCATCAGTATTGAAGTGCAAACATTTTAAATGTCCTAGAACTGGTATTGAAAACAGATTTGGCCTCAATGAAACACATGAAGGATAACATTAAGAATGACAGAGCCAGCAGGGTTTGGTGGCACACACCTTTAATCCCAACACTTGGAAGGCAGAGAGTGAGGCAGGAGGATCTCTGTGAGTTTGAGGCCAGCCTGGTCTAAAAAATGAGTTTCCAAACACCTGTGTGGTTGGAAAAAAAAAAAAAAAAACACCTCAAGAATAAAGGAGACAAAGAGTTAAATCAGATCATTGATAGCAGTCTCTGCTCTCTTGTTCCTGGCTAACCTCTCAGCTATTAGCACCAACTGGGCCTCTGATCCTCATTTTTGGTAGATCAAGGTCGGAGCCCTGAATCCTAAACTATGTGGAGAATTATACACTAGTTTAGCACAATGAATGGTGCTTAGGACCAACTACACCTCTTCAGAGCACAGTGAGTCCATGACTCGACTCATTCACTAAATCCAGTGGGGGATATGACAGGCCTCCAGACCTTAGCACAACTGACTCCCTGATGGAAGTACCAGTCAGGGTGTAGACAGCACCACCTATCCAAATGAAGACAAAGACCTAATCCACCACAGTCCATAGTTTGGGACAGGCTCTAAATACACTAACCTTGCATTTTGGTTTCTGCAGTTATGCTCAGCTAACTGCTCTTGTTAACTGAAGTTTGTCAACCCAGAACACAGTCTTTGAGCTTAAAAGCTGACCCTGAGAAAGGCTGCTGACTATCCTGGGATACTGAACACCCAGTGTAGCAGCAGGCTCTCCAATAAAGTCTTTCTCTTGCCTTAATCCCACGTCCCAGCTGTCTTTTCTGGTGGATTTCCTCCCACAACTCAAAACCAACCATTCCCCTTTTTGTTTTGAAACAATCAGAAGCAAGACAACAGTAAATGGAATACCGGAAATTATTTTAATTAATCTAGATATCATGAAGTCAGCAGAAAGTGTAAAAGAGTTTAAGGTAAAAGAAAAGTCATGCCGGGCAGTGGTGGCTCACGCCTTTATTGCCAGTGCTTGGGAGGCAGACCCAGGAGGAACTCTGTGAGTTCGAGGCCAGCCTGGTCTACAGAGCGAGATCCAGGAGAGGCACCAAAATAACAGAGAGAAACTGCGTCCTAAAAATCACAAAAAAAAAAAAAAAGCCTTAAAACAAGAGCAGTTAGCCGAGCATAACTACAGAAACCAAAATGCAAGGTTAGTGTATTTAGAGCCTGTCCCAGAACTATGGACTGTGGTGGATTAGGTCTTTGTCTTCATTTGGATAGGTGGTGCTGTCTACACCCTGACTGGTACTTCCATCATGGAGTCAGTTGTGCTAAGGTCTGGGGGCCTGTCATATTCCCCACTGGATTTAGTGAATGAGTCAAGTCATGCACTCACTGTGCTCTGAAGAGTTGTAGTTGGTCCTAAGCACCATTCATTGTGCTAAACTATTGAATAATTCTCCACATAGTTTAGGATGCAGGATTCCGACATTGATCCACTCAAAATGAGGATCAGAGGCCCAGTTGATGCCAATAGCTGAGAGGTTAGCCAGGAACAAGAGAGCAGAGACTGCTATCAATGATCTGATTTAACTCTTTGTCTCCTTTACTTCTTGAGGTGTTTTCTTTTTCCAACCACACAGGTGTTTGGAAACTCTTTTTTTTTTTTTTTTTTTTGGTTTTTCGAGACAGGGTTTCCCTGTGTAGCTTTGCGCCTTTCCTGGAACTCACTTGGTTGTCCAGGCTGGCCTCGAACTCACAGAGATCCACCTGGCTCTGCCTCCCGAGTGCTGGGATTAAAGGCGTGCGCCACCACCGCCCGGCTTTTTTTTTTTTTTTTTTTTTTTTTTTTTTTTTGTGGACACTCATTTTTTAGATCAGGCTGGTCTCGAACTCACAGGGATCCTCCTGCCTCACTCTCTGCCTTCCAAGTGTTGGGATTAAAGGTGTGTGCCACCAAACCCTGCTGGCTCTGTCATTCTTAATGTTATCCTTCATGTGTTTCATCGAGGCCAAATCTGTGCTCAATACCAGTTCTAGGACATTTAAAATGTTTGTACTTCTAAACTGATGAAAGTTTCAGGATGTTGTATGGCTATGAAATAACATTTTTTTCTCCTGATTTTTCCAGGCCAGATTTATCTCTGTAGCCCAGGAAGTCCTGGAACTCACCCAGAAGACCATGGTGTACTTGAATTCACAGAGATCCACCCACCTCTGCCTCCTGACTGCTGGGATTAAAAGCAGAATCCACCACTTCCCAGCCCTAAAATGTTCTTAGTAGTTCTATGAACAGTTCCTGGCTGTTCTGGAACTGACTTTGTAGACCAGGCTGGCCTAGTACTCACTAGACTAAAGGGGTGAGTCACAACCACCTGGCAAAAAGACGTATTCATTTTTGTTTTGTGGTGGATTCTGGTCAAATAATTATCATTGTATACTTAGGCAAGATTTGAGGACATTGCTCATTGTCTTGTCTATACCCTGATCTGAGGTGGTAGTGTAGCCACACTGGTTTTGGCTCATGCCTTTAGTCCCAGAATTGGGAGGCAGATGCAGGCACATCTCTGATTTCAAGGACACCATGAGTTCTAGGAATTCCGGGGCTACACTGATAAACCTGATCTTGAAAAATCAGGGGGAAAAAATGTCATTTCATAGTCATACAACATCCTGAACCTTTCATCAGTATTAAAGTACAAACATTTTAAATGTCATAGAATTTGGTATTGAGTACAGATTTGGCCTCAATGAAACACATGAAGGATAACATTAAGAATGGCAATGCCAGCAGGGTTTGGTGGCACACACCTTTAATCCCAACACTTGGAAGGCAGGAGGATCTCTGTGAGTTCGAGGTCAACCTGGTCCAAACAGTGATTTGCAGGACAGCCAGGGCAGGTGTTCACACAGAAACACCCTGTGTAAAAAAAAAAAAAAAGCAAAAAAAATAAAAATAACCAACCAACCGAACAAACAAAACAAAAAAGACAAAGTAATTCATATGAGTAGACCACTTGGTTTCTCTACTAGGTCAATTTTGGATAGCTGTACTTCTGGAGAATTATTAGTGGTTCCTATGTCTGCCCTGAAGCTATAGAGATGTTTATACATTGTAGCTGTCCGGAATTTGATGTCTGTACATGCTCTTGCCCTAACTGTGACTTTCACTTCTAAGATCTTTCCTAAGGAAGGGTTTTCCTCTCCCTGCTTGCCCTGTTTCTGTGAGGGTTCTGTCGTGACTCTTTCATTTTACTCCTTTATGTTTGGTTTTTGTTTTTAATTTTACCTAGATATCAATTCACCTAGTTCCTCAAGTTGAATGACTAGACATTTCTCATGTAAC